ACATGAAATTTCTTATTATTATTATTTTATTAATATATTATTAAAAAATTTAAAAATATATATAAATTTGAAAGTTAGATTGATTTAATTAGGAGTAATTTGAAAGTTAAGTAACTAAATTAAAATTTGGTGACCAAAATAGGAGTGAGAAGATAATTGAGTGATGAATGATGCAATTTACCCATAAAAAGATGCCACATTGGAAATCACCCGTTATGTTTTTAACGGCAAGGTACTAAAACGAAACAAAACTAAATGTTAGGCATGATTTTGAAAAAATTAAAAGTTTAAGTACTAAAACTAATATTTTAAGTACTTTGATGTAATTTACCTTGGACTCTAATATTAGTTCACCAATAGATTAATTGTATTTCTTTTCCCTTTATGTAACAGTAACTTTTTTTTTCACCTTCTGATAATGCCGTCACAATTACTTCACTTATTCGTTTAACAAGTACCACATATTTCAAAATCCAATAGTACCATGGCTTGGAAAATTAAAACCAGAATCTGATCTGTGTTTTGGGGAGGAATGACAGGACCACTTAATGTTTTTAACAATCTTTGTCTCTTCAAACTAACTGTTCCTCCTACCTTTGTCAACCCTAAGTAATTGGAATTGGACCACTAACTCCCTCGATAACTAACTCCCTTGAGCCGATGGAACGTATCAATTCCGAAGGTTGTACCACTTAACTCGATGTCAATCAAGTCACCATACGTTAACATTTATCAGACATGACCGTTGAAAATTTTGATATAATTACATATTTAGTCCTTATAATCTTGAAAGATCTAATTTAATATCTGTTAAAAGCCCTAGGAACTCTTTTCTCTCCTTAAGCAACAACTCGATCAAGTTATGAGGGGTTTTTAACGTCCCTCTTACCTTTTAGAAAGAAATATTTAAATTAACGTTCGAGTCTATGTAAATTTTTAATGTTGTGGGGGCACTACTTGAATGTTCAAGATACATGAATTTGAGCAAACTATGACATTTAGACCAATTTTATATATATATATATATATATATATATATATATATATATATGTATATGGCTATGGGTCTATGGCACTTGATAATACAGGGGGAGAGATGTTGCATTCAACTCACACAGTTGCAAAAAGGCATTTATGTTTGGCCAAAACATGGATTGTGGCTCTTTTTTTTTTCATTTGTCCCTCCGAGCTGTATTGTCTAAGGAGTATTATTATGATTCTTTTTTGGTCTTAGGTTTCCTATCAAAGCCCTTACCCTAGGAATAGGTTGTTGCCTTTATGAAAGGCCATAATGGTTTCAATCCAAAATAAAAATGGGTAATCTATCCCTATGATCACTTAATTATTGACCATCAATAAAGAACACAAATGGTCCATCAACTATTAAAAGTTATAAAATGGTCCCTTGACTATAAGACATTGCTTTATTGAGTCCCCGACTATTAAAAGTTATAAAATACTCGCCTGACTATTCATATGTTCCAAACTCATCATTTTTCATTAAAAATATTGGCAGTTATTTGAGCTGGTCATTGGGATATGATACTCCATCTGTCCTATTATATGTGTCTCTTTTGGTTTTTGAAATTGTCCTATTCAAAATGTCATATTAGAAAAGTCATCAAACAACACTTATTTTTCCTTTTTTACCCTTATATATCACACTATTTTACATTTATTAAAACAAATCTGTCAAATCTATCTACCATCTTTTATGGATAATTTTAATTTCCCTTGGTCAAATATATCTCCTAAAACTATGTGTATAGTCAATAATCGGCACAAATCATGAGACGGAGGGAGTAAAATCTAGTCTTAGAATTGTTTGAGCTATATTTTGTGGGTCCAGTCTCTGTTTACATTATGTCATTGAGCCAGTACTTGAAAGTAACGATGATGCCAGTAGATATCATTAAAATATGATTTTACCATATCACAATCAACAAGTTAACGTCCAACTCATACGACCGTTCATTTTTCAACGAAAAAGAACGAGTTTGGAATATAAGAATAGTTAGGTGACCATTTTGTAGTTTTTAATAGTCATGAGACTCAATAAAATATCGTCCTATTGTTGAAGGACAATTTTATAACTTTTAATAATTCTAGAACTCTTTCTGTACTGTTTTTTTTCTGTTCGAAACTTTTTGATGTTTGATAATTATATGAATCCCAAATATTTTTTTTGCTCGATAATGAAAGATTTTATCGATGAAAACGCTAACGATGAATGTCTCGTTAAAAATCTCCCATAACTTAAATGGAAGAAAAGAGAATCCCGAATATATTTAGAACGAAAGGTAAAACTCTTCTAACAACTATGGAACAGTCCTAACAATCGCCCCAAGAGGGTCAGCGAACATACATCTAATGCTGCCATCTAGTATTCCTGGTGACACCGCCGCAGTCGGCCCGGGCCAGGTTTACCGCAAGAAGAGTCATCGACGTTAGGCCCGATAGCATTTGCTGCCGGAAAAGTCAAACCGTTCCGATAACCTTAAATGGTAACGTAATAAAATTTAAACACCTAAAATTAAATCTTTAACTATAGTAATGTAAAATTATTAAACAAATGATGACAAGAAAGTACTAGAAGCTCAAACTTTCATTCATGGCAATTGGCATGACATCCATGCTACTACTCCCACACGCCACGGGCAGCACAAATCTTGTGCCTTTCTCACAAATATTGTCACCTGAATCGTATAAACATAAGCACATTCCTCATTTGCTCTCTTAAAATGGCCGAGCCACACTGCCTCGTCATGTCCGAAACTACCCGTAGGAAGGGCGCCGGCAAGCGTGCCACCGTCCCGGTCGAGACAGAGCCTGTGGCGGAGCCAGAAGTCGCCCCGACCCCGATGGCGCCGTGCGGTGCATGCAAGTTCTTGAGGAGGAAGTGTATCGGTGGGTGCATTTTCGCACCCCACTTCGGCTCGGATCAAGGTGCGGCCAAGTTTGCCGCGGTCCACAAGGTTTTTGGTGCTAGCAACGTTTCCAAGCTCTTGCTTCACATCCCGGTGAACCGGCGGCATGATGCGGTGATCACGATATCGTACGAAGCTCAAGCCAGGCTATCGGACCCGGTTTATGGTTGCATCTCGACCATTCTTTCTTTACAACAACAGGTTAGTTTCTTATTAATTTGATTTCTTCAGATTCCTTATTTAAAAATTCTTTTCGCAGGTAGCATCTCTGCAAGCCGAGCTAGCGATGGTTCAAAGCCAGCTGATCAACAGTCGATTCGCGATGGCGAATGCCCTTCAAAACTCGCAGCAGCAACAGCAGCAACATGAGCAGCATATAACACTGCTTCAACCAGCATACTCAAACAATTCCTCAGCATCCAATAACCTCATAAACATAAGCAACTTCGCCTCCAATTTCGAATTCGTGGCCGAGACTACTCATACTGCACCCAACTCTTCTCAAAGCATGGACCATCTTCACCTCTCCATGCCGTGCCATGACGACGAGGACGACGAACAAGATAGTCGGATTCCAGCCATGTTCGTCAATCAGATAATTCATCGCACATAATCTTTATAATATCTATTTATCCATCCATATACATATACATATACATTTTTTCTTCTTTTTTCTCTTTGAAATATACGTACAAATTTAAGAGTTTAATTAATTTATGGACATATATGGTGGATTATATGAACATGACATACATAATTAGTTTATTTACTATCATAAAATAATTAATCCATATTAAAATAATTTAATTCGGGTAAGATTAATTGTACTCGAATAATTAAATAAAGTATGATTTTAAATTTACTAATGAATTCAGAACAAAGTTTTCTCCTGTAAAGCAAGTCCCAGTAAACTCAGAACTCAAGACAATTTATTTTGCTATTAAAACATGTATATTTATATGTATAATTTTAGATTTAGATTATAAAGTTTAAGTTTACTTAGGGCTTAATTGTTTGATGTTAGAACCCATTAAGTGATTTTAGTGATAAAAATAATGTTGTTTTTTCAAGAGATTTCGAGTTTGAACAGTTGTGTCTATAGAGTTTGTGTACTTTATCGATGGTAAAAAAAAATCTAAATAGATACTACATTATAATCACCCAGACTATAAAAAAAATGTTTAGCATTAAATCATTATACGTGGAAGCGGCTTGTGAAAAGTGCGTTTTGAAAGGAGCGTTTTTGTCTTAATAGCACGTCGTCCGAATGATCTTTCTAACATTGATGTCACTCGAGATAAAAATGAAAGAAATGAAGAATGATGGACCAAAACATAAAAAATTGTATGAATTTTATTAAAATCATATATAAAAAATGTGAGATTTGAGAAAATAATGACAAAATTTTAATGTTTTTATGCTGTCAAAAGATAATTTTTAAACTTAATCAGACTCGTATCAGTTATCAGACAATTATTTCTTTATAAAATACTCAAGACTCAATAACTAAAATTATCTATAAATGTCAAAGAAATTTTGTTTGTCAAAAGAATTATTTAATTAAACTGAAAATCATTGGGTTTAATAATAAATTTAATTAAAGAGATGAATTGATAGTTATATATAGAGTTAATAGCACTATATGTTTTCAAATTATGTCCCTCATTTTAAATTAGTCCTTAACTTTTAAATATTTCAATTTTATCTCAAAACTATGACTGTCATTCTAAATTAGTCCTTAAACTTTTGAATATTTCAATTTTATCCCCAAACTATGAATATCATTCTAAATCGGTTCCTAAACTTTTGCATCTTCCAATTTTATCCCCAAATTCATCCAAATATGTAATCCATTTCAACCTTAGTTTAACATAAATTTTATTTTTTTAAACATATAATAATATAACTTGGTCTAACGATATTATTAACAAGGTATGTGATTAGTATATACATATAATTTAGGATTAAATTGAAACGTCCAAAAAGTTTGGGGACCAATTTAGAATGAAGAAAATAGTTTAGGATAAAATGAAAAATTAAAAGTTTGATGACTAATTGAAAATGACCGTTTTCTGGTCTCGACTGCCCAAAGCATGACTAAACGCCCGATTAAGGGAATGCTTACAGGACATGTTACCATTCTTAACTGGTCCTTTGTCAGAAATGATCAACCCAGGTATGTCATAGGAAGCCTATAGGCAAAAAATGGTCAGAAATATTGCATTTCTACCTCCATATATTCATAGTTTGATGTCGTACGAGCGCCGTCTCCAGATTCGAGACCTGCTACCAGATTGCCTCGGCCATAAAGGATGAGGTTGAGGATCTTGAGAAGGCTGGTATCAATGTTATCCAAATCGACGAAGCTGCTTTGAGAGAAGGGCTGTCTCTTAGGAAGTCCGAGCACGCCTTCTACTTGAAATGGGTCGTTCACTCCTTCAGGATCACCAACTGCGGCGTCCAGGACACTACCCAGAACGAGTAATGAATAATTTCCCTATAACCAGATTAGTGAGAATGCGAAATAAAAGCAGAAAAATAATATCCGAAATTGATAACGGAGTTCAGCCAATTTGCCTACGTCTCCGGTCTGCCGCAGATCTTTTACTAAAGAGATAAAATTTACATGTGTTTACAAAACACTCACTACTCACAAGAAAGCTATCTAGTATTGGAGAAAGAAATGATTTGGGGTGATTTTAAAGCTAAACGAGTTAGGGTATTTATAGTTGAAGCTTAGAGAATAATCTTATAATTAACCCTATTTCAATTATAATTAAAAATTTGACACCGAATTCGGTGCCCACCCTTTTTTGAGATATATATAAACATGTTCAAACTCGATATTTGGATATAATTTGTTGAATTTTATTAGAAACATAAACTTTGTTACATAGAAAAAAACTGTTGATGAACTGAAATGAAATGAGGAATTAACCAGTATCTGTTGTTTTCATAAAAATGGTAGACGCTCTAGTAATCTTCAGGTGGTTCTTCGTCGTCTTCGGGATCTTCGGCACCAACTTCCTCGTAATCTTTCTCGAGAGCAGCAAGGTCTTCACGAGCTTCCGAGAATTCACCTTCCTCCATACCTTCGCCTACATACCAATGGACAAATGCTCTTTTTGCGTACATGAGATCGAACTTGTGATCGATTCGGGCGAAAACTTCGGCCACCGCCGTGTTATTGCTGATCATACACACCGCACGTTTTACCTCGGCCAGATCACCCCCGGGTACCACTGTAGGTGGCTGGTAGTTGATGCCACACTTGAAACCAGTAGGGCACCTGCAACAAAACCGGCAATGATCATAAAATTGCTTATACATGTATCATTTTCCTGAAACGAAATATTAAAATTCCAACTAACCAATCTACGAACTGAACAGTTCGCTTCGTTTTGATGGAACGGACAGAGGCATTTACGTCCTTCGGTGCGACATCTCCGCGGTACATCAAGCAACATGCCATGTACTTCCCGTGCCTCGGATCACATTTAGCCATCATGCTCGCTGGTTCGAAAACAGCGCTGGTAATCTGGGGAACCGATAACTTCTCGTGGTAAGCCTTTTTAACCGAGATCACAGGGGCATATGACGAGAGCATGAAATGGATACGAGGATACGGCACGAGGTTCGTCTGGAACTCGGTAATATCAACATTGATAGCGCCATCGAACCTCAACGAAGTCGTCAAAGAGGAGATAATTTGAGATATCAAGCGGTTCAAATTCTTGTAAGTCGGCCTTTCAATATCCAATGACAGCCTGCAGATATCGTATATAGCTTCGTTGTCCAGAAGCACGGCGACATCGGTGTGTTCAAGAAGAGAATGTGTCGAAAGAACGCTGTTGTAAGGCTCCACAACTGCAGTAGAAACCTGCACAATGGATAATGCCGATTCGGATATTTGTACATAGGTACCTGATAATGTAATTTAAACAGAACCGTCTCGAACATTTTCGGAACCATGATCCGGCTCGGAATTTAAATCGAAAATTACCTGAGGAGAAGGGTAGATGGTGAAGCCAAGTTTAGGCTTCTTCCCATATTCTACAGATAAACGTTCCAAAAGCAATGAGCCTAAACCAGAACCAGTTCCACCACCAACAGCATCAAACATCAAAAATCCTTGCAATCCACTGCAATTATCAGCCAATTTTCTCAATCTGTCAAGGCAAACTTCGACGATGTCCCGACCGGCTGAACCATACGATGATAAATCGATAACCCAAACTCGAATTTTAAACTGAAATGATTTATAAACTCGAAATGAAACGAAGTTTGATTGTACCTGTATAATGTCCTCTTGCAAAGTTATTAGCGGCATCTTCCTTTCCGGAAATAAGTTGCTCCGGATGGAACAGTTGTCGATAAGCTCCGGATCGAACTTCGTCGATGACGGTCGGCTCTAGATCGACGAATAAGGCTCTCGGCACGTACTTTCCGGCTCCGGTTTTACTAAAGAAGGGTACTAAAAGCGTCATGGTTGGCACCTGCATTGCCCTCACTGCATGCAAACACAATGAATTGATCAAATCTGTAAAAAAAAAACACATTCTAACAGCAAGCACATCAAAGATGAAGATGGTTATTGCATGATGCATGCAAACCATACAAAAACAACAACAATGATGATGATGATAGCACATATACAAAACATACATACATGATGACATGAAACATGCAAAAAAGCATAAACAGCAAGCATATCAGTGATGAAGATGGTAATTGCATGATGCATGCAAAGCATACAACAAGAAGTCAACAACAATGATAATGATGGTAGCATGATACATATACAAAACATACATACATGATGATGATGACATGAAACATGGAAAAATACTTACATATACATGCTCTCACATTCTAACAGCAACCAAATCAACTATGAAGACGGTAATTGCATGATGCATGCAATTGCAGAACATACAATAATAACAACAACAACAATGATGATGATGATATCATGAAACATATACAAAACATACATACATGATGATGATGACATGAAACATGCAAAAAACATACATAAATATGCTCTCACATTCTAACAGCAAGCACATCAACGACTGAAGACGGTAATTGCATGATGCATGCAAACCATATAACAACGACAACAAGGATGATAATGATGATAGCAGGGACACATACACAGCATACATAAATGACGATGATGATGACATGGAAAAAAGCAAACGTATATACACGATCTGACCTAGGCATCATGCCATCGGGTTGAATCCCATGTTCAAGGCAATAAAGCTCCCAACATGAATTTCCAACTTGAATCCCAGCTTGTCCTACATGAATGCTAATCACTTCTCTCATTTTAAAAAAAATATTTTAAAAAAACTCTTCAACAAGCCTTGTTATCTCTTCCTCAAAGGTTTGTTTTAGGATATATGAAGGAGATAAGGTGAAGAGAAAAGAGAACGAAGAAAAAGAATGAGCGTTAAAGAAGAAAAAGCTCAAAAACGGGTATTGATTCATTGTTAAAACAACCATTTGGAGCCATCTCTATGGTCTTCATCAATTGTTCCACTTGTTTCTTTTCTTATTTTTCCTCTATTTATTTTTATTTAACTAATTTTATCTTAGTATTTTAGATTTTAGGGTAAAACACACATTTAGTGCATAAACTATCAGTTTTGATCTATTTTAGTACCTAAACTTTCAAATTTTCAAAACTATACTTGACATTTAGTTTTTGTTTCATTTTAGTACCCTGTTGTTAAAAACTGAACAAGTTTAGTACATAAACTATCAGTTTTGGTCCGTTTTAGTACTTAAAATTTCAATTTTTTTCAAAACTTAGCGTTAAATTTTGAATATGGTACTAAAATGAAACAAAAACTAAATTTTATTTATGGTTTTGAAAAAACTGAAAGTTTAAGTACTAAAACGGATAAAAACTTATAGTTTATGTATTAAACGCGTAATTTACCCTAGATATTATTCATATATATTATGCGTGTTGAAATTTGAGTAAATTAAAAATGTCTGATGATTTGTTTAATGCATTGTATACATTATATCAAACAATATAATATTTTTGTCCGATATAGTAAGGATTTAATTAGGTTTAAAATTAAATATACAAATGATCAATAAACTAAGTAAAAATATTTTTTGACTATTAAAATTTTGAAAGTTATAAAATAATCTTTGAATTTTATCAAATTATTATAAAATACTCATATCAAACTATTACAAAATGTCACCCAAATCATGCCTACAATATTAAATCATGACATCCAAACTAGACCAAACTTGATTAGAATTCGGTTTATCAAACTGGTTTATTTTGTAACCCCCTACATCCAACCTATGCGTTACAATCAGATCTAGCGGATTACAATAAAAATTTACAAAAATAATTTCCACACTTTAAAATCATATATCAAAAAAATGGGCACATGTCACCAAAATATAAGCAGTTTGAAAGATTGAAACATTACACAAAATTTCAGTACAGAATGTTTCAATCCTCTAAGTGCCTGATTTGGAAGCCCTATCCAAATATCTGAAAGGGGAAACGAAGGAAGTGAGATAGGAAGCTCAGTGTGTTCCAATAAGTGCATAAATAAACATGTTGATACATTTCAAAACTGATTTCAGAAATCACATAGTAAAAATAACCACATACTTTAATTTAAAACACCTAGCTACCCTTCACCCGTACACCATATAAAATACCCCATAACAAACATCCATAAGGACTTACACTAGACCCGAGGATCTAGGAGTCCAATATGGAATATCAGAACAGGAAGGCATTACCAGCTAGTTGAACCTTAGAGTCTCCAGACACCTACCCAACAGTACCCCAAAACAGTTTCAGATAGCACTGGTAAAATCAGAAATAAAAAATTAGACATTTTACAGTAATAGTAATACAAATAACATATATCAGACAATCAGAAGTTTTAGATCAGTAAAATCAGAATTTCATATCCGTAAAAGCAGAGTTCAAAAAATCAATAAAAACAGAATAATATTGCACACAAGGAACACACCTCGCGAAACGAGTTGGTTCAAGATTCTATTGAGCATCAGTCTCGCTATGAAAAGTAGTACACGATCCTAAATCAGAATAGGGTTATTATCAGAGTAATGAATTGAACATAGTAGTTAACAGAGTTTCAAAACCATAAGAGATATCACGGCTCACGCGGCCATATGGATAGAGAGAAGCTGGGTCGAGCATTCACATGGTTAGGAAAATCATGGTCACCTATCACAACCAAATTCATAAATCACTCATTAGTCTTTCCTTAATTTTCCTTAACCAATTTAATTCAAATAACTATGAAATTTCAGGTTCAAGGGTTAATTCGGAGGCTTTCATGTTAGAATTTGACGAAACATATTTTAAATTCGAACTCAGGACGTCGAAATACATTAGATAGAAAATTTTCAAAAAAGTTAACTTTTTGGTCAAAGTTAAAGTTAACGCTATCAAAGTCAAAGTCAAAGTCA